ACCAGAAAATAACACAGTTATATCATTAAATGGCTGAAGGAAATCACAAATTTTTTGAATGGTATCCCATTCATCAGCATCAAGTCTATAAGACATACCCAAAAACCTACTAGTATATAGAATCAAGGCATCCTTAGCTTCTAAGGCTTTTCGGAGCATTGTATAAGTGACATTCCAACGAGTCACAACATCAAGACATAACTTGCCATTAAAAACAGAGTCTAACTCAGACAAAGCATTCTCAAATTGAGTTAATCTAGAATCAGAAGCATCAATATATTTAAAAACCTCACGCAATTTTTCAACACTTTCATGAACTTCTTTTAAACCTCTTTGAACAATAAGATTTAAAACATGAGCTGAACATCGAACATGAAAGAATTTCCCATTACAAGGAAGAGGAGAGCATTGCATTAATTCTTTTTTCAAATATTCAACCATAACATCCATAGAACGAGCATTATCAACGGTCATTGAAAAAGCCTTACCTTCAAGGTTCCACTCTTTAATCAGTTTAAACACAAACTTTCCAACCTCAACACCAGTATGGGGAGGGCCACAATATCTAAAATTTAAAATTTTAGACCTAAGAGACCAACTGTTATCAACATAATGAGCAGTCAAGGTGAGATAGCCTCGGTTAGTACATGCAGTCCACAAGTCACATGTAAAGCTAACTCTACCAGAAACATTAGCCAAAGACTCATGCAACAAGGATTTATATTTATCATGCTCAGCAATAACATATTTTAACATAGTTTTTCTACAAACATGCTGCACCTTAGGATTCAAATATGCATGAAGTTCCCTAAGATATTCATGCTCTACAATATTTAAAGGATATGCATGGAAGATTATAGCTTTAGCAAACTTTTGTAAATAAGTTTTTTTTATCAAATTGTGATTCGTTACCGGACTGGACACCATGCTTTTCCAAACATGCATTAATATGAGCTCTACAAGTTGAAGTACCCGCTCTACCAGATGCTTTATATTCTTTGCCACACAAATTACAACGAGCATAATCTACCTTTTCATTACCTATCGTATTTTCAAAAAAAGTGTAATGCTTCCATATACCTGCGGTTCTTTGACGTTTATTAACAGAAGGATTGATAGTGCCGGTATTACTAGCATCATCAAGCGGGACAGAGGCAGCTTGAGAGCTAACAGTATCAAAATTTGATTGCCTCTCATAGTCAAATTCATCATACTCTCGAGACATGACTGAAACAAAAAAAAAAAAAAAAAAAAAAACAGCATTTATAAGTACCAAATTAAGTGACAGATTCTACTAATAGTGAGAAATTAAGCATGCATTGTCTCATGTGACTAACATATGAGTACATTTTAAGTACTAACTTTAAGCCCAACTAAAAGAATTCTTGACATAAACATTCCATTCTAATCAAAGCAGTCAAAAATGAATTCTTGACATAAACATTCCAGGGCAAGCTCGCTGAAGTGAACAAGGAATGCATAAGTTAACTAGACTTTCCCGCACAGTTTGACTAGGTATCCAGTTACTGAAGATTCTATCATTCTTCACCAATCATATATCCACAAGATAGCCAAAATACAGACCATCAAAAGTCCACCCTTGCTTTCTAAAACTCAGATAAGAAACATGCAAGTGCTTTTAGACAACATCAGGACAGACCCCCACTGATCTAAGTAATTGTACAGATCAGCTGCTATAAGAAGATAGCTAGCTTGGAGTGTGAAAACAAACGGGTTAATGTCTCATTGCAAGCAAGATGCATGTTGCATACATGAAAATGCAGTACATTATTGGTTCTAGATACCTGCAGCTTATAACTGCTATTGACTCTCTACAAGAAAACAGAAAAAAGAAAGGTCTCAATCACTTTGGGACCTTAGACAATCAAATGAATTTGACACCACAGACAAGCAAATAAGAGAGGCAAACAATGGCTTTAGCTAGTTCTCATAGAAGATATAAAGCAAAGGAAATATGCAATCTCTATGAAGATTTATAAGAAGTAAACTCAAACATAGACTAGAACAACAACAACAATAATCAAATACAAAAACAGAAAAACTGTATTAAAAAAAACGAAAAGGAAAAAGTAATTACCTTTGAGTAGTCTTTGACGGCTTGAAGGAGATTTGAAGATGGAGAACTGCCTGAACTGGAGATCAAAAGAAAAAATCAAGAACTTGAAGTAAAAAAAAAAACCGAAACGAAAACGAAAAAAATCGAAAAAATTAACAACAAAATTACCTTGAGGTTTGACGGCTTGAAGGAGAGGAAGAATTGAAAAAAAAAAAAAACGAGAATGGAAAAGTCATAAATAAGAAGTTTAGATCCAAAACAAAAATGAAACAAAAATAAAAACCCTAAATAAAAAAAAGTAAAAAATCGAAACGAAAACGAAAAAAATCAAAACGAAAACAACAAAAATTAACAAAAAATTACCTTGAGGTTTGACGGCTTGAAGGAGAGGAAGACAAAAACAAAAAAAACGACAATGAAAAAGTCAGAAATTAGAACTTAGATCCAAAACAAAAATGAAACGAAAACAAAAACCCTAAATAAACAAACCGAAACAAAAACGAAAAAAATCAAAACGAAAACAACAAAAATTAACAAAAAATTACCTTGAGTTTTGAACTTTTGACGGCTTGAAGCCTTCAAATTGAAGGAGAGGAAGATTTGAAAAAACAAAAAAACGAGAATGTAAAGCGAGAAATCAGAAATGTAGATCCAAAACACAAATGAAACGAAAACAAAAACCCTAATTAGGATTTTTAAAAGTTGAGAAGTTGAGCTTGAGATTCTTGAGAATTTCAGAACGAATGAGTGAGATGAGAACTGAGAAACTGAGAAGTTAGAGAGAGAAACTGAGAGTGAGTAAAACGGTTGAATGGCTGATAGAGTGGGCTTGAGATTCTAGGTTTAGGTTTTACTTGTTCATTTGATCAACCGTCCATATTCAATCTCAAGGATTCTCAACATCTAACCGTTCATTTTTTTTTTTTTTTGTAGATTCCAGAATTTTCATCTAGATCTAACGGTCTAGATTTTTCTTTGTGCTTTTCTAGGTCTTTTTGACCGTTTTTTTTTAATTATTTATTATTATTATTATTATTTTGAAAGATTATTATTATTATTATTGTTAGTATAATTATTTGTTAATATTATTATTATTACTAGTTTACTACTACAGTACTACTATTATAGTATTATTATAATATTATTATAATTATTATTATTATTATTACTATTATTATTATTATTATTATTATTATTATTATTATTATTATTATTATTATTAGTATATTACTTATAAGTTATAAATTGTAAGAAACGCAAATGTTTCAAAATTGAAATTGATTCAATACGACATAGTTAATGACTTAATGAGTTAATGCACATCAATATCTGACATCTCTATATGTATATTATATATATCTGTGAGTCTGTGACTGTATATCAGTATATATAATAAACTAATAATAACTTAATAAGTAATAACTAATAAAGTAATGAAAATCTAACCATTGTTTTTCATGGGCATTCAATCTAACCGTTGTATATTTGACTATTCGTACCTTAGTATTGCATAATGATTTCATCACCACTTTAATTAGTGATTTCGTGATTTCGTCCATTTAACTTATTAAGTTGTTTGAGTTAGTAATCTAAATAAAGTAACAAACTAAATAACGAATCCATTTAATCTCGTGTAAGTTATAATTTATAAGAAATGCAATGTTTGGAAATGGAAATTGATTCAATACGATATTGTTAATGTATATGTAATTATAGATTAATTATTATGTATATCATATCGTACGAATGTACGGTTGGTATCATTATCATACTATCATAAGTATCATTGCCTCATTGAATTATTGGTATGTACTATAATCGATAAACATATTTACATATCTGATCATTAAAACTTAAAAGTTTAAAACACTTGTTGATCAATCTAATTGAATACTTGTACATTCTTAATTATCGATTTATCGTATTATAAGTATCAACTTATTAAATCATGGTCATGATTTCGTGATTTCGTCCATTTAACTTATTAAGTTGTTTGAGTTAGTAATCTAAATAAAGTAACAAACTAAATAACGAATCCATTTAATATCGTGTAAGTTATAATTTATAAGAAATGCAATGTTTGGAAATGGAAATTGATTCAATACAATATTGTTAATGTATATGTAATTATAGATTAATTATTATGTATATCATATCGTACGAATGTACGGTTGGTATCATTATCATACTATCATAAGTATCATTGCCTCATTGAATTATTGGTATGTACTACAATCGATAAACATATTTACATATCTGATTATTAAAACTTAAAAGTTTAAAACACTTGTTGATCAATCTAATTGAATACTTGTACATTCTTAATTATCGATTTATCGTATTATAAGTATCAACTCATTAAATCATGGTCATGACGCGATCTTTAAAACAATCATGAATTCATGACCCAAACCGCTTATAAACCGAACCGACATGATCCAAACCGTTCATAAACCGAACCAATTGAACTATGTAAACCCTCCACTAAACCGGCCCATTTCAAACTGAACCGACATGATTCGCACCGTTTATAAACCGAACCGATATTGACCCGGGTAAACCCGCCCCTAAACCGACCCATTTCAAACCAAACCGGCTTGATCCAAACCGTTTGTAAACCGAACTGACATTGACCCGGGTAAACCCGCCCCCTAAACCGACCCGTATCAAACCGAACCGACATAATCCGAATCGTTTATAGACCGACCCGCTTATGACCCAAACCGAATTTGAACCGCAAAGAAATAAACCGAAACCAAACCGAGCCGTGACTAACCCAAACCGAACCAAACCGACCCGCCAGCTAAACTAACCCGTTTCAATCCGAACCGCTCCAAACCGAAACCGACTCAAACCGAGGTCAAACCGAACCGCCAGACCGAAGTCCCACCCCTAATTAAACCTTATTTTTCAATTGTTAACTCATAAGACTGTACATTTGTTTATAAGACTGTACTTGTGTTCTCTTCTGTCTTCTCACTTTCCTCCACCTCTGAGTCTCTGACTCCAGTTACATAACTGCTACACTATTACTTCTGTGAATTGTCCCATAAAACATCAGATCAAACCCATTTTTTTTTTTTTTTTTAATAAAATCGAATTGATTGAACCGAATTACAAAATCGATGGCAGCAGAAATTGAAATTTCTCCATCCAACTCCCAAGGCTCTTCAACTCATCCTCCTAATCATAATCATAATCAAAATCCTTCTCTCTCTCCTTCCTCCACTTTACCTTCCTTTCCCCAGGTCACTCTCTTTTTCTCTCCTTTTTTATACCCATTTTCCCTCTTTTTAATTTAACAAAATTATTTTTAATTATTTTTTTTTTTTTTGAAATTTTGTCAGAAGGATAAAGAAGATTCTACGGCAGCCATGAATACCGGTGCTACTGCTCCACCTCAGGATAACTCCAACATTACCCACAGCCACCAGTTAATTTCTCTCTCTCTCTCTTTTTTTAATTTTTATTTTTTATTTTTATTGAATTGTTAAGTTTATTTGGAGGTAATGGGTCGGAAAAAGGGTTTTAATACAATTATATATTCAATTGTTTAATTGATACCTTCATTGTTATTTGTGTTTGATTAAATTCACGAATTAATTTTTTGAGATCGATAGCATTGTTGTTCCATTGATGAATTCAACCGTTTGTGATTGATTTGTTGAGATTGATATCTTCCATTGATCAATTTGCTGCTTAAGCGTTGCTGAGTTTTTCGTATAGGGGTTTATTTTTGGTTAGGAAGAGGTTGGGCTGTTTGTATGTGAACTGAGAAAAATTAAATGGGCTGCCTATGTTGTATGCTCGCACGTGAGACCATAAGGTCCACAATTGTGGACTAGGTCACGCAAGATTTTTTTTTGGTGTTTTATACGAGTAGGGATGTCAAAAAGTAACTCGACCCGAATAACTTTGATTGAAATTTCAATTTGTATGGACATAATAAAGTTAGTATGATTTAAATTTGAAATATTTATCAAAAATTAAAATTGAAATAGATTCGACCGGACCCAATCTCACCAAATTTGACCCATTTACCCGAATTGATAACTCTCGTTACGAAAAATTCTCAATCTTAAATACTACGTAGCTTTAGTCTTTTTTACTCTAATAATGTCGGTTGATATTAAATTGTATTTTTCGTATCATCATGGTGTTGGTAAGATTAGTTAAGTAGCAAGATGATTTTTTTATTTTTTTTTTGAAGTAAGATATTTCTTTATCTTCATTAGTACTAACAAAAGCAAACTTAAAATCCAAATTTTGTTGGTATGAATAGAGTTCTTTGTTGGTATTAAGATGATACATACAACTTAATATCAATTGTTAACAGTCATTATAACTCAAGCTATTAAGAGGCTCAAAATTTCTCGTGCTATTATCGGAATTGCTCGAAATCACTAAAAAAAAAAGAGAGAGAGAGAGAGTATAAAAGGCATACTTTTATGCTACTGAGTTATGCTGCGGGATATTTATTTATGACTCTACATGACTAACCAGCTGATTGATACAATACAACCCGAGCATTGGTTTAGAGTTTTCACAGCTCTACTGATAGATTTCCTTGGGTACGATATGCAACTTTTAAAGATACGTTTTGCTATTTGAGGAACTGAGCATTCTTGCGAAATTTCAATTTCTGTTTTCGTAGTTGCATTTATATTTGTTGTAAGGTTGTGCCACCTAAATGAGGGTGTAGTATTTACCAAATTACAAGTAAAAGGTGAGGTTATCGTGTGGAATGCTATTGAGATATGCATAAATTCAGATTGATTCGTCATCACATGTATTGAGTCTAAACTCTAAAGGGTGAAGGAGAAAATACAGTGATTGCTTAAGCTGAAGTTAGGCAATAAAATTGCGTAGTGCAGCAACCTCTATGTTATACTGTTATCAGGTTTTTGGTAGGCATAATACTTATAGCATTGATTAACTCGAGTCTGTCAATGTCTGGAGTGATTGACAGGTGCTTCACTGCTGATGAAATCGCAAAGTATAATAAGTATGAAGCAGATTATGCTAGTTACCTGAGAGCGAAATACTTCTCTGACAAGGATGTCTACGGAGGTAAATTGCTATGCTGACTCTTTCATACATGTTCCTGTAAGCTTAAGTCCTTTTTTTCTGGGATGCTTAGCCTATACTAGGAATACCAAATGAATCAGAAATTGAATTTGATTTTTTTGTACTTGTGCTATCTAGCAAATCCTTTGAAACCACCATTCCAAGCCTAACCGAGAGGTAAGATCTGATTTGGACTTACCTTGTGTTACATGCTTCCAAATGCTATTAAGCAATGGGTCTTCGTTAATGAGTGCTAAACCAAATTAGACAATGCTACATATTTCACACTTAACTCCCTAATTGCTTCATCTGCCACCCGATTTTCCACTCTGTAGTCCTCTTTACATTCACATTTGAGTTTTTAATGTGTGTGCCTTAGTTTACTTGTCGCTTCTCCACTTCCTTTCCCATCGCAAGCTCATCTTAGTTGGCATCTTTGTATTCGCTACCATAATATCACCCATAAGGGTGCCACTCCATTTTTCTTTTGGAAGGTGTAAATTCTGTCTCGAACTTTACCTTTCTAACTTATTTTAGATCACATTGCATTTAGGTTCATCTTGTTTCTAGATATTCTAGCTTTTCCATGCTTCTTTCCTTTTTTTTTTTTTTTTTTGGATAGAAATTCTAGTGTAGAGACTTTTTACCCCACCCATCAATCAGAAGAGAAGAAGTCAATTATAGTGTCTGCTTCCCTATGCAGTGGCAACAAGCCAACAACAATAGCTGCCTCGAGTCACATAAAGCTTATACAGGAGATTTCATGTCATGGTGTTAAGGTGTTGGCACCATGATCTTCATGAACATCATCATGAAAGGAGTTTAGTTTTCCTTAGAGTACAGTAAAGTATCCAAATCTTCATGCTCCCACTTCTTTTGTGTGTGCCAATTTGCCATTCATTTGTATAGGTTCAAGCCAATATATTAGTTAGCAGTAAAGATTATACGATACTCCGTAAAAAGTAGTGGCATTCATATGGTATGGAAAAGTTTGAACAGGGGATTTAGAATTTTAGCTTCCAAATTTCCAATGAAGTGGCTTGTAAAATAGGCTTTTGTGCGAGTTTTTTCTATAAATGTTGTTATTCGGCATTCTTTTGACATTGATATAGCATTGTGTTGTTATTAACTTATTATTGGCACGGAGAAGCACTGTGATTCAATTGGCATCAATCATGAGGTGCATACACTTGGAATGTTCAAATGTTCTTATAGCTCTCTGGGTGCTTAAAGTTGGAATCTAATAGTGAAGGTCCTATTTGTTACTTTGGATAAGAAAGTCTATATCTCATTCTTTGAATTTGACCTAAGGAGTATTATAGATTATTTGAGACAATCTAGTATTACTTGATTACATTTATACATGACTAAGTGGAAAGGATCTAATTGTTGAAAAACAAGACATCCTGGGACCGCAGGGCACATCTTCTACTCTGTATTGCGCAATTGTTTGGTTTTTGTTATCTGTACAGTACATTTTCTATGTATGACGATGCTGAGGATTAGTAAAGCAGATAAGTATTAACACAATTAACTTATTAATTATATATACTATCTGTGGATTTGTGTGTACAGGTGACATATATGACCTTACAGTCAAAGTTGGCAATGAAACCATAAAAGCTAGCAGGTGCACACAAAGCTTACTCTTTTGAATTTACAACATTCAAAGTTGAAGTTCAATACAGATGACATAGTTTTGTTATGGCTTTTCATGATGCAGGTCGTCTCCTACTCGATCATTTGCAGAACCTGCGCAGAGTGTTGTAGACCCTGGCCATGTTTTGGCTTCTGAAGTAGAACTACCCGCTCCAGGGGCTGAACCGTCTCCAAACATTGCAAATGGCAGCATAACTCCAGTTAAGAAGAGTAGCTGATGATGTTTGTTTTTACTTTTTAGCAAATCTACAGCATTTGAATTTGAGAAATGCTGAAAAAATAATCATAATATGGTAAATAGTGCATAAAACTTGGCTTCTTTTTTTTCTTTTTAAAAAAAAAAATTAGTAAAAAGGTTAAGAAGTCATTGTTATATGCACTATTCACATATAATTGTTATTTTTATACAATCCCTCAATTTGGATTAATTTTATATGTATTCATGTATAAACGTTTAGGGTGACTGACCAATTAAAAAAATTTAGGGAAAAAATTGAGTTGGTAATTGACAAGACCTATTATGGTTGAACTTTTTTGTCTTTATGAAGTGGAAATAGGCCAAAATAGTAAGTTGTAGAAGAACATCTACAAAAGGAAGTAAGTATTACTCTAAGTTGCTAGCCTATGTATCATCATATGATAGGAATAGCTCGATAGTAAAACTTATCTTATACGGGGAACTTTTTGGAACTTACCTTCAAGTTACCAACTTACCATATTAGAACTTATTATAAATAGGTAAAATAGGTGAAATTAAGACACCTATAAGGTGGTTTTATGAGGTCGATCTTGTTTAAAAAGAAATATTTATGTAAAATCATCTTACCATCATAAGACCGCTTTTGTAAGTCATAGGCTCATAGCAAACATATGATCCTATCCTGGTTTGTCTTTACCCTATATCCAACCTACCTACTAGGTGGTCTTACAATGACAAGACATTCTTAATAAAAATTTGTACTACCTCCATTTCATATTATTTACAACGATTAGACATTTCTCCTCTCTACTTAATGTCAAAATCGTTGCAAATAATATGAAAAGAAGGTAGTATAAGCAATGTTTTAATATTTTTAAATAAGTGGGGTAGGTGTGGGAACCCCCACTTTTGATGGCAAGGTGATCTTATTTTAAAAATCTTCCTCTTTAGTCTTCTCTAATCGCTTCATCTCTAAAAGCAAACGAGGCGACGCGAACTAAAAAAAAGTGCATTATGAATTGGAATGAATTGGAAAGTTCTTACTAGTGCCATGAATGACAAGAAAGTCATGAAGAAACCTACACAAGTATTTTGGAACCAAGAGATAACTAGGGTAGGTGTTAAACAAGATGAGCCAAGCGAAGCCAACATTTTCTTCGTGTTCACTAAATTACAAGCTCGATATATGAATATTACTGAGGAGGTTGCTTGGCATGGCACGTGGGTCGGACACTACATGGGCTCTTTTTTTAAATGATCAACACATGCCTAACACAACATGATTTTTCCTTAGTTATTCCCGCTTGAGCACGAAGCACGCCGAAACGTGTCAACCTACACGGGTTGACATGACCAATCTTTAAGTATACTAACGTGGATTTGTTGGGAAATATGGAAATGGCAACTAATCTATTGCAATTCCTCATTGGATTTTGATAACGAACACCTCTAAGGCATTAGAAAGTATTTAAAATATTTTAAGTGGTATTAATTTAGAAATATATGTCAAAATTACGCGTTGATTGGTGTAATTAATGCTCATATAATTTAATATTCTACTTTAAGTTATCTTATCCAACGTCCTCAAGGTGTTCGTTAACTTTTTCCTTCCTCATTATTCTCTTAATCTACTTCATTCTGAGGAAAAAATAATTAAAGGTTTTGTGTTTAACCAAAAAAAAAATAATAAAGAATATATATAATAATAGTATAATACTATATGAAAATTAATTTACTTCACACATACTCTTCCTTTTAAACTCTTCATTTAATTTTTCCATATACAGCCTAAATAGCTGATCTTTTTTGCAATTCCAAGCTCCAATTCTTTCAAAAATAGATGCTGACAGCTACTTGTTGCTTAAACAACCAGCTACCATCTACTCATAACAATTGCCAATAAAAAAACCTAATTATTTGCACTTTTAGTCTCCATACCAAAAATATTTCGCAACCAAAAAGGAAAACTTAGGGCTTGTCTGGCATTGTTTTTTGTTTTCAGTTTTCTTGTTTTTTTTTAAACCAAAAACAGGAAATAAGAAAAAGGAGTTTCCATTTTTCTGTTAGTTTTCCAAATTATTATGATTTTGATAAGTTTGATTAATTTTTGATTCATTATATGATTTTGAAAAACAAAAAACCAAAAAAAAGAATGCTACAACGAAGCCAAACAAACCCTTATTTTTTTGTTGCAAGTAATTTTTGTTTGTGGGATGGATTTAAGAGTTAGGGAAATCAAGGATCATATTCATTAGTTGCTACAAAAGTGTGGAGAAAGCTCTCATTTTAAAACTTTCTCCTTTTATGATCCTTAATTGCATAAATATTCTTTCTCCAAGGATAATGGCATAAATAAGTTTATGATCCTTAATTCCATTTTAAATGAACTCAATTGCAAACATGAGAAAGAATAAATGAGCTTTCTCTAAAAATAACAAAATCATTGTCTCTTATGAGCTTTCACAATCCAATTATGCGCTTATGAGCTTAGTCTTTCAATGTAATATGTGCTTTCATAGAGAAGTTATGAGTTTTCATAATGAGCTTTTCTCCAAGGAAATTGCATTTATCTCCAATCATGGATGGATCAAAGGATTGAAAGCTCCTTCATAATCCAAGAGTATCATCATTAGTTCATATTTATGATGCTCGTGGATTACGCTTTCAATCCACGAATAAGTAGTGAAACTACTTGAAATGTTGAGATTTTATTTTGGGAGCAAAAACTTGGGATACTGAGATTATGTTTGTTTTTATTGTTTGTTTCATTTTTGCTAGGTCATTTCTTCAAATAAGATGAAAAGGACCGATGATATGGGTGATTCAAGTGATTCTCTAGCAAAAGAACATCAAGCAGATGGTGATCATATAGGCTGGACTAACATGGTGAACAACTAACTACTACGTATTATTTGCTCCATTTTTGCATTTGAAAAAAGTAACAAAATCTTGTATTTTATAGTTTGATGACTTTGATGTTTGCTGATAAAAAGAAATTTATTGATGAATTGGGTTTTGGATGTTTGCTGAAGTTTAATTGCAAGAACTTGAGAAAAACGATGTGCAAATGGATCATCGACCACTTTGACCCTGAATCTCAAATCTTAGAGATTGATGGGAAAACAACAAATCTTAATCCAACACATATGGAATACCTACTAGGGTTTAAGAATGATGGTTTTGACATCAAAGATGAAGAGCTTCAGAAAACTGAACCTTCTGAACCTTTCACCAAGAAATTTCTTAGCCTTTTACACCAGGACACAGGGAGCTTTGCAGCTGAACTCCGGAATATGAAACATGATGATACTGACTTCCAAAAGGTATTTACATTGTTCTTCATGACATCTTTTGCTGCTCCAACTGCAGACAAAAGGCCCAGAAACACTTGGCTACACCTTGTTTTAAGGAATGAAATGATCGGAAGGTGGAATTGGGCAAAGTTCATACTCGACAACACAGTTGCAGCAGTGAAAGAGTTCAAGTCTACCTCAGCTAAAGCATTGGGTGGTTGTCCCCTATTTTTTATGGTAACTCCGGCCTTTTCTCTTACACCTACCAAACTAGAATGTTGTTCTAAAATGTTTTCTGTCTAACTGAGATTTTGTGTGGTAAACGATTCTTCACATTCTTCTCCGGTAATGACATTAAAAAAATATTCTGTTGGCCATAAATTAATGTGTTTAATGCTTGTGTGTGCATCTGTTGATACATTAGCAATGATCAAATCCTTGTTTGATTTGTCTGTACAGAATCAGTATAACTAAACTGCATTGATATAATCTTAAATTTGCAGGCCATATTTTGTGAATACTCTTCCAAATCTGGTCTAGACGATATTTGGAAGTACAACCTTCCTACGATTGATGACTGGAATGATAACAACACCAAAAGACTACATGAAATAGTTGTCTCCTATCCCCTAGATTACAAGACCCCTGAAGTAAGTGCTTGATGATAGTTACAATACCATTGCATTAATTAATTTGTTGGTAATTGAAGCCAGTGTTGTTTTTAAATCTCCTATTTTAAATGATTAGTGTAGTTGATGATGAAAATCGAAGCTAAAAAAGCATGGATCATACAAAAGGTCGAGTATATGGAGACACGGTTGTCAGTTTTTGAAAACAAATTATATGCATTTGAAGAAGATACGAGTAAGATAAAGAGTAAGTATTGCTAGTATTCATAATTTTCCAAAATTATGACACATTTTATTTTGGTTCACTCTCAATCTCTTGCCCTCACTTACTCACACGTCTTCTTTCATCTCGTTCTCAGGAGATGCACAAGATCTGAAAGAAACGTGTGACAGGTAATTCATTTAAACTTGTTTAGATTCGTGCAAGATCCATTATATTGTTACATTTTTAAAGACTTCAATTTGTGATTTTCCATTGTTCTTTTCATATATAAATGAAGGCTGGTGTACTTTTAAGTCGTGTAATTTGCTACTCATTATTCCCTATCAATTGCAAATGACTGATATAGTTATCTTTTTGAACTGATTCATTTCTTAAGCTGCTGTATTAGCAAAGTTCAATTATGAATTTATGAGTTTCTTTTTCTATATGTATGTTCTAAAGATTCACAAAGCAAACTTTCAACGACTTAGAAGCTGACTTAGAAGCCGACTTAGAAGCATATGTCGACTTGCTCTACCAAAGGACAAGTGAAAAAACACAAGACTCGAGTAAAATGTCCATTGGAGATCGAATTAGGAGATGTTTATCATGAGACAGTGCAAATTGATGAGTTGTGACTTGTGAACTACCTTGCTGGAGAATATATGAAGCTAGTTTTGTTGAAATATTGTTAGACTGTATTTCATGGATCTGTAGTACTTCATATTATGATAATGTTGGCTTGTAATATTTATTTGTAAGCTTCAAGTGGACCAATTTATGGCCTAAACATCTAGTAGGAGTTTTGTTAATTAATATGTGAATGCATGTTTGTAAAAATTTATTCCCAAATTTATTATAAAAAAATTAAAAAACTAAAAATAGATTTGCATCAGCTTTTAGAGCATCGGATTGGCTTGAACTGGATTATATCCTATTTTGATTTGGATTATGATTTTAAAAATTTATTTTAGTTTGGATTTGGTTCAGGCCCTAATTCAAACCGTACACCAAACCTTCACCTCGGTCCCCGGCTCTTGAGAAGGTTGTACACACACTACACAATGCAAATGTAGCAAAAAAGTTTACCCTTCTGGTCTTCTGGAAAAAAAAATGTGTTACCTAACACGCTCAAATGCTCTCTGTATTGCTTATTACCTTAAGTTATTACCAAAGTTGTTTCTGGTCAAGACATTGTGTAAAATAAAGTTTTGTGACCCATTT